ATCTTAGCTGATCACTGACTAGCCTTTCTTAGTAACATATGGCATATAAATACTACCACCTGATCATAGCTCTAAGAGGAAACCAAGGGTATAGTAATTTGACAACACTATACCATGTGTTAAGGGTCTGTTTAATACAGTACATAGCCTATAGGCATAGTGGACAGTGAGCAGCACATGTGCTGTGCAACCTAGGGTTACACAAGCGCCCAGGGAGAGGCTTTACATGTGGTAAGAGTTGTGATTAGAACTGATCTAAGGCTAACCCTAAGCTGTGCTATTGGAATCCAACCCTAACCCTGTGAACATTACAAGATTTTGTATGTGGCGCCTATTTCAAAACTAACCTCTGATCAGCTGGGTTCCAAATTTTTTTCCCACGTACACGACTTGAGTTGGCAGGAAGGTCACCCCATAAGAAACGATTTCTTCGTTCCTCATCAATCGTAACTTTAAGTAGGAGGTTAAGACATTCATCTTGGTAGCTAATTTTATGCCATGTAATGGATCAGACATACCTTGATCAAAGACCTTGATTGAATAGGCCTTCAATAAATGGCCTGATTGTATTATTTAGATGGAAATCATGTTATAATACATTTACTTCATTGAAGTTTTGGGAAGTGTTTCTTTTATGCTCACAGTATCCCCTCTATTTGAAGGGCAACAGGGCACTATTCAGCAAGACAATGTGTTTAGGCACTTTTATGATCATTTGATGCTTCAAACATGGATTACCCCAGTGAACACACTCCATAAGCATGATTATGTGACCTCATTGCCTGATCAGATTGCCATATATGGTGCAATGCCACACATCAGTTGCAATACTGCATTTATTATAGTTTGAGCTCCTTCCAGATTTTATTACTAAATATATAGACAGTACCATGGAGTAGAGATTGAAATTCTGAGTCTGGTGGTATATGACACTTAGGGGGAGGCAATGATGTCATCAGGTCATGTGCTTTGGGCACTTTCCTTTCCAATTGTGGCACTAATAGGATTTTGTACTGTGTACAGTGGCAGCTGCATGAGTCACATCCAGGTCATTTTTCAATATATGGACTCTGCTCATCCATAGCTCTCTGTTGATACATATTTTGTGGCATATGGATAACTGGGGGCCAAGATATTGAGACATTTGTGTTGGGAACCAAACAAGACCATACTTGGTGGCAGGGGAACGCAGCTCTGCGTTCCCCTGCCACCAAGTATGGTCTTGTTTGTTCTCAGCCACAGCTGCAACTCATTTTGCACACTGTTGGCTCACTTTGCACTACATCATAGGACTATTATATATCATTGGAAAGGGCCTTCTAATGTGCATCTAATGGTGGTACAATCATGGTTTTATATTGAATACACAAGCTTTAATGTACCAAATACTAATTGTGGCGGAAGGTCATTGCCAGATTGTATGCACACTACCTGGTCTTTATGCTCACTGCTTCATCTATCTAGCTTTATTATTATATTGCAGGACAATTTCATTATATAGGGTAGAAGATAGTGCTGGCAATGCATTGAAGGAACTGCATTATCTGGACCTAAACATCCTTTTACTCCAATGTATGCCCTCACTTGGCACCCTATTGACCTACAAACAACACCATTGTGTAGAGCTCAATTTTCTGAATCTGACAGTATATAACACTTTATATATTGCCTAGTAATACATTGATATAGACCCACTTCAATCCCCCATTAGTGACATTGTCACCAAGTGTCACTTATAGGGATTTGTTTGGCTTGTAGTTCCCTCAGATGGGCTCACAACAGAATACAAACAACCCCATTATATTCTCCTGATCCATAGCTTTCTGGTGATACCACATTTGTTTGATTTGGTGAACATTGTGTGAGGTTGCCAAACATAGATGCTTGGAGCCAAACAGGTCACAGTAGAGTCACGTGACTGTGCCGCACGGCATACACCTGGGTCGGGCGGCAGAATTCAATCTCCGCTCCAATCTGACTAGCATCATTGACAAATGGGCTACAAAAGTGCAGATGGGTGAATTCCTCTGCTATCCCTTTGTCAAATATAGATGTGTTATATACCATCAGAAAGCTATATAAGAGCTCTACCTGATGGTGACAATCACAGCCTTTTATTTTATCTCTGTAGTGTTTAAATTCAAGACCTCCTGCAAACCAGAAGACTAATACAGGTGTTGAGCCCACAATTCTGCCAATTGTGATGCTATGTACATTCTGTCTCTTGTAGTGTGTGTATTCCTATACAAAGGATACTATTACAATATACAATCATCCATCTAGTCAATGCTTGGCCTTCACAGCAGATAATCAACAAGTTGCAATAGAATTATACAGAAATACACCAAATTGTGTTTTATGAGGTACCCTGGTTACCAATAAATAATGGTTTATGTACCATTGGAATTCGCTGGTTGAGCTCTATACAATGGAGGTGTTTTCCGGGTCATATATACCCTACATAATGTATCAATGGCCAACAAATGCATTCTAAAGAAGGGTTGATAGGGCCTGATCCTATTGGCCAATAAGCGCCCAAAGCGTGATTTGGTGAAGTCCAATGGGTGCTAGTAGATCACGCTGGGCCAGTGCGATCTACTAGCACTTGTAGTCCTGAGAACGATTTTATTAAAAGCAGCTGCTTCTTAGCAGTATTTCCCTTGCACTTTCACCAGTTCTCATCCATAAAGCACATATTATATATCATTAGAAAGCCCTTTACAAGCTCTACAACATGGTGTTGTTATGGTCCTGATTGACACAAATTTCTAGAATAGAAAAAGGAAATACCTCAATTTCAACCTTACAATGACAATATCTCCTTTGCTATTTCAACATTTCTCATCCATATAGCATATATCATACCTCATCTAGAAGCTCTTTACAAGCACTGCATCATGGTGCTATTATGGCTTTCATTTGTTTCAAATTGCACTCTAAATTCAAGACATACCTTATCTTTACCCTTTTATGTATTCTAGGCCAGGATGCATGCATGAGTTCATTTCCTGAATTGCCTCAGTTCAGTGACTGGCAATAATGGATGAAATGTAAAAACAGATTTCACCCTATATGTCAGTACATAACACCTCAACTGATAGCTGACTAGCCTCTTGTAGTGGCATATGGCATATAACTACTACTACCAGACTATAGCTCTGAAAGGAAACTAAGGGTGTAGTGCTTGAGCTACACTATATCATGTGTTAAAGTCATGTTTTGATACAGAGCATAGCCTATAGGCATATACAGTAGTGGGCAGTGAGGGGCACATGTGCTGTGCAAGCTAGGGTTACCCAAGCGCCCAGGGAAGAGGCTTTACATGTGGTAAGAGTGGTGATTAGAACTGATCTAAGGCTAACCCTAAGCTGTGCTATTGGAATCCAACCCTAACCCTGTGAACATTACAAGATTTTGTATGTGGCGCCTAGTTCAAAACTAACCTCTGATCAGCTGGGTTCCAAATTTTTTTCCCACGTACACGACTTGAGTTGGCAGGAAGGTCAACCCATAAGAAACGATTTCTTCGTTCCTCATCAATCGTAACTCGCCTAGGCAGTGAGGTTGTTCTCTTTGAGATAGTCGTTGAGCGCGGCGAGGCTATCAACCTTGCGTCCGGGCAGCCACGAGTCTGAGCCTTGGTTGTAGCCCAACCATCGGACGAGGTATTGCCAGCCCCGCCCGACACGACGACGGTCCAGGATCTTCTCGACGAAGAATTCCTCTTCTCCGTCGGCGGTGACAATCGGGCCAGGCTCCGGGTTCGCGCGGTCGGGGAAAGCGGTGTCGTTGTTCGCGATGTAGGGACGGAGGAGGGAAGAATGGAAGGTGGGGAAAATACCCATAGTTGCGGGCAAGTCGAGGGTGTACGAGGAGGTGTCCGGGTTCGCACGCGCGATGGTGTACGGACCATTGAAGCGCACCATGAACTTTGCAACGCGATGTGACCCCCTCTGCATGTACTCCCGGCATCGATGGAAGGTCAAGAGGAGAACACGGTCGCCAACCTCGAAGCGAGGCTCAGTGCCCCGCGAGTTGTTGGCATGGAAGGCCTGCGCGGCCTTCGACATGAGCAAGGTGTCCTGTGCCTCCATCACGTCCGTCTCCAGGCGCCTGAGCATGGCGAGCGCCGCGGATACGCCCTCGGTTCCGATCGCCTCGTTAGCGTCGGAGACGTCTCCCAAGGAAATTGGGGGAACCACGCGCGGCGAGCGGCCATGGCGCAAATGGAACGGCGTGTACCCTGTGGATGCGTTGACCGTGCTCATCAACTGGAAACGTATGAGAGGCAGAGCTCTCACCCAGCCTCGCTGATTGCGTGCGACGTGAAATCTCAGCATTTGGATGACCATCTTGTTCGAGTGTTCGCTCGATCCGTCGGTTTCCGGGTGGAATGAGGAAGACATCTTGAGCTTTACGCCAAGGAGGGTATGCAGGGCTTTCCAGAAGCGCAAAACAAACAACTTGTCGCGGTCCGACACGATGTTGAGCGGTAGGCCGTTTTCGCAGTACCAGTGCTGGAAGAAAATGCCTGCAAAGTCTTCAGCGGAGATGTCTGTCCTGCACGGCACAAAACGCAGCTCGGAACCGAGGCGGTCGGTCATGGTAACTATGCAGTTGAAACCGGAGTCCTCCGGCAGCTCGCCAATGAAGTCTATTGCGACACTGTCCCCGCGTCCGTCGGGGACCGGCAGCAGGTGTAGGGGACCTGCAGGTTTACGAACGTGCGCTGACAGGTGTCGCAGGAGGGAATATATAAACTCTCAAGTTCTGTGCGCATTTTTGGCCAGAAATACGAAGCGCGAATAGCTTCGTACGACTTCTCAAAACCGAAGTGACCCAAAGTGTCATGCGCGAGGCGGAAAATGCCCTCGCGCAAATCAGCTGCACGCGGGACGCACAGGCGCTCTCCAACGAACAGTAAACCATCGCAGACCACAACAGCGGTGCACGCGCGGCCATCTAAGGCGCCGGACTGTAGCAGCTCGAACAGGTTGTCTTGGCCGTCAGCCACCAAGTTCAAAAGTCGCAAGCACCACTTGTCGAGTGCGTAACCAGCTCGAATGCGCGCCAGCCAGGCGGGATCAGAAGAGACGCGCAGAGTCAAAACGGCGGCCACGGAGTGTTCCACGGTCACGTGGGCGTGTTCAGCGGCGGTCAGCCCGTCGAGTGTGCCATCTACCAGCAACAGCACTGCGACGATGTTCGCACCGAGGCTCTGGGTGTCGACGGTAGGGCAAGAGAGACGCGACAGAGCGTCCGCTGCACCGTTCAGTTCGCCCTTTATGTACGCGATTTGGTAATTGTACTGCCCCAAAAACTCTTGCCACCGTGCCTGGCGGCGTGACAAGTGTTTTTGGGTAGTGAAGTTCTCAAGGGTACGGTGGTCTGTAAACACGGTAAAGGGCACACCTAATAGATCCACCCTCCATTTCTTGAGCGCGCGGACTATTGCCAGCAGCTCCTTCTCGTGCACCGGGTAGTTGAGCTCGGCAGCTTTAAGCTGGCAGGATTCGAACACGACAGGTTGCGCTGTTTCAAGTGTCGGTCCGAACATCAACACCGCGCCGGTGCAGAAGTCGCTTGCATCAGTGGCGACGAAGATCTTGTTGTCCGCGAGCTTCGAATGGTCAATCACCGTAAGACACTCGTGGCTGAGTACGAGTTTCTTCACTGCGGCCAAGGCGTCTTTGTGGACTTGCGTCCAACTGAAGTCCTTCTCGGCCTCCTTCGTCGTGAGTGGATTCAAAGGGGCCGTCAGCTCAGCGAGATGTGGAAGAAAACTAGCCACGTAGCAAACGAGACCCAGGAAAGCCCTGACGTCTGTTGCATTGCGTGGCGTTGGCCATTCCACGATCTTGGCGATCTTCTCTCCGTCGGGCTTGATACCGGCGCGTGAGACTCTGTGACCAAGGAAAGCGAGGTCAATACAGAACAATGACATCTTCAGGGAGCAATAAAGATGATGGGAGCGCAGAGTCTTGAGCACGAGGCGCACATTGCGACAATGTTCAGCGAGACTGTTAGACCAGATGATGATATCATCCAGGTATACGTGGCAGATCTTCCCGATGAGGGGACGCAGAGCGTTGTACATGCGTCGCTGGTGTGTGCTCGGTGCATTACGAGCGCCCTGAGGCATCACCGTCCATTCGAACAGTTTAAATGGCGTCGTCACGGCGGTATACTTCACGTCGTCCTCAGTGACGCGAGTTTGAAAAAAGGAATTTGTCATATCCAACTTAGCCCAGATCTTACCCTTCCCGCAGTCGGACAGGATTTCCTGAATGGATGGTAAGGGGTAGACGTCGGGGATAGTGTTCGCATTCAACGCGCGATAGTCGTTCACCCATCGGGGGAGGGCGTCGGGGTCGGACTTTGGGATGAGGAAACAGGGTGACGCATAGGGGCTGGAGGAAGGGCGTAGGCGACCGGCGGAGAGGTGTTGGTCGAGGAGAGTCTTCCAAGCCTCCCGATACTTCTTCGGACAATCGTATTGTCGACGAACGATGGTCATGTTGGCGTCCTTGAGACGAATGTGGTGATATTCGTCCTTTGGTAAGCTGTCGAGGTGGGGGATGTCGTCTGGGAAGCAGTCAGTGAACTGTGTTTTCATTGCCACGTCCTCACGCTTAAGCGTCTCGAGGAACGCGAGCTCCTCGACCCTCTCCCGGACCGTGGCCACGCGATCCCATGGAGGCATTGAGGTCGAGTCGACGGGTGCAACCGGCGCAGGAAGCGCGTCTTCCTTGCCGAATTGAGACTTCAGTTCGCGGATGACATCGCGATGTTGACGCAGGGAAAAACACGCTTGGAGGTATTGATACTCATGCGCGAGTTCTCGTTGTGCAAGGCGTTCTTCCCGCGTTTCACGAGCGGTTTGTTTGTGTTCGCTTGTTGTTCTCGGGGAAGGATGTGTCAGATCTCGACCGGACTCGGGGTGCCACAACGGGCCGTTGGAGACATCAACGAGAATACGATTGCGCGACAAAAACGGAGTTCCCAAAATTATGGGCGAACACAATAATGAGACAATGAGAGCCCAAACAGAGACAGAAGTCCAAGAGCCATCCGGTGTTGAAACCGTCAATTTACACCACTCCTTCGCTGACGTCTCTCCGCCGTCGAAGGTGTTGCCCAGTGGCACGGGGGTATGTAACTTGCGCCGACGCAGTTGAAGGCGCTCAACGGCGTCGTCGCGGATCAGAGCTAGGGGTGACCCAGTGTCAATCAACGTGATTGCCTCTGGGTTATCGCACGGAGACTTTACGTGCACATGCCACGTAACATGGGGAACGGAGAAGGATGGATCATGCACGTCGTCATCCGAACTATCTCCATCCGACAGGACCGCAGACGATACCGCGATGGGCGAGCTGGTGACGGCGGCGACAGCCATGACATAGTCTTCGTCATTGTCGTCTTTGCTTATGGTTATCGCCGCGACCTTGGGAGTGTCGATCTTGGTGGACTTCAGACGGAGTTGCTCAGCCAGCGAGTTCGCGTTGTAGGCGGCGAGATCGGGGAAGCCATTAGGGCACTCCTTCGATTGGTGACCAGCGCCGATGCGTCTACACTTGAAGCAACCGTTGTTCTCCATGAGGATCCGCCGCTCGTCTTCTGTCAACCTGGGGACCTTCGGCTTAGAGAGGCTAGCGGTGTTCACCGAGTTCCCAGAGCCCCCAGAGCCAGTGGTGCGAGCCTTGCCGGACCCAGAGTTGCCAGTAGAGGAGACCGAGCTCCCAGAGCGAGACTTAGAGGAACCAAGAGTAGGGACAGACTTAGAGCGCGCGAATTGTTCATATTCGCAGAAACGACACTTTCGGTTGGTGAGACGTTCGTTGTCGAAGACGATGAGCGCGGCTTTCCAGGTGGAGTACTCGTCCAGCGAGAAGTATTTGGAGCGCAACATGAGGAAGCGCATCTCCTCACAGGCGGTCGCGGTGATGAGGCCGCGAAGGGCGGTGTTGGAGAGGCGATGGGTAGTGTCGCGGAGGTAAGCATTCTGCTTCTCCAGGGAAGTGACCCAGACGTCGAAGGAGTTGTCCTCGTTCTGTTTGCTCTGGAACATAGCGGTGACGATCTCGTTTGCCCAGTTAGCCGGAAGCCATTGCTTGCGGAAGACAGCCATGAAAGCCTCAAACGAGAGCACCTCGAGCGTAGCTGAGTTCGTGATCCACCAGTCCATCACCCGGGCATCCTGAAAACCACCGGACGCGAAACCGACGCGGTTTGCTTCCTCCACCGGACAGTGACAGAAGTACTGGCGGCAGCCGGCCTCCCAGGAGAACAGGGCGGCGGGCGTTATCCGTCCCGGCGTGAGCATGAGGCATGCATGACTTGAGGGAGAGGTGGATGACCGTCGTGTCACTGCCGTTGTTCAACGAGGACATGTTGGGCGGTGTTGGCGGTGCAATGAGGGCGAGTGATGCTGCGAGAGCGGCTGGGAGATCGTAGTCGGACGAGGAGTCGCTCAAAAACGAGAGGCTCAACGGGGTAAGGGGGGAGTCAGGAGTGCGGAATGCGGGCGAAGTTTCCCTCAAAGGAGGGAGCGGTATCCTCGACGGCGAGGGGGGTTCCGACGGTGGGAGGGGTGGCTCGCGTCCAAAGATGCGCGTCTTTGACCTAGTGGTGAGGGCGGGGGCGGAGATGATGTGCTTGGTTCTTGTGCGGGCTGTGCCCTTCACTGGCACGGGAATGCGCAACAGAGTGGATGATTGCACGAGCCGTGCGAGGAGGAGAGAGGTAGGGGGAACGGAGGAAAGACAGTAGGAAAACAGACGGGCAGTCGGTGGGAGAATGGGGGGATGCAGAAGAGAGACAGTGGGGGGAAAAGGGGAACGGCAGGCAGCTCGGTGAATCGTTCACCTATAAGGCCGAGACGACGTAAAAGAAGGCGGCGTGGGATTCGCGTAGACGTCGTGAGAGGTCCGAGAAGCCCGGCATTGACAGAGTGTTCCCTGTAGGGGGGGACAAAGGTCGTTGGACGTTTAAAAAAAAGTGTAAGCCGCAGCCTTGTGCGGCTTCACTGAGATCAGACGAAGGACAAAACGGGAACAAACTTCGTTGCCGGAAAGTAAGTTCTACGAAGTTACAGGGAGTGTGCGGAGTACTCACCTTTGTTGCCGGAAAGTAAGTTAGGCAACGAAGGCGCTCGAGTCGGGAACTTATAGTACGCAGAACAAACAGGACACAACGTTGGGTTTGGGGAAGCGGGCGGGATCCGTACGAACGAACGAGAGGGAAGCGGGCGGGATGCGAGACGGACAGGGAAGAGCGGAGCGGTGGCGTATGTACCGAATAGAGCGCGAGGGCGTAAGCCCGGAGTCCGGGGTTACAGTACATACATTTTGGATACGCTAGTTGCTCATTTGATAGTGATTCACTCCATTCACGCTTGCATGCGTAGCCCTCGGTTTGGGATAACATTCTTAGAAGGGGGTGAGGTGGGCACCAAGTTGGGTATTGGTGTATCGAGGGTTCGCGAACGGCAGAAACAAGATATGCTTGCACGCGCTTAATCACACATGCTCAATGAGGGCACACAAGTGTGGCAAAGCAACAAAGATCCATTGAGCAACAAACAGTGGGCTGGTAAAATATCCAGATCATACATGCAAGCTTAAATGGTGGCGGAAGGAAAGAGGGCAAGGGGGATGTCAGGACCAGAAGGGATAGGAACACACACTAACGAGAACGTGCTCTGAAGAGCCTATGGAATCCACCATGACACACGCAGTCCCTTTGCATGTTCTCCAACTGGGCGTAGATGTTCTCGAGGGTGTTGTTTGCCTGGAAGTAAAGGTCCTTATACTCGTTGAGGAGAAACTCCGTTAAGCGCAAGAGCTCGCGCAGCTTCAACTCCCGGTGCTTGCCGCATGTGAGCTCGTCCTCCAAAAGTGCAGCTCGCACAATCAGCCCTTCAATGAGACCTGCACATCATGAATTACGACATTCCAATCAATGCAAGAGGAAAACTCACGGGTGATGTACACCTGAGGACTATCTCTAACTTCTACTTCACCTCCAGCTCCCGGGCCGACAGCGACATCAAGTTCGCTGAGGACGATATCAGGATGTGGTTAGAATGAGCGCGACACCACCTGAACCTTGCAATGACGTACTGCATATCATCGGCGGCGGCGGCGGCCATACTTGTGTGCGATTGAGCGTGAATGAATGAACAGGGATAGTGATCGATGAAGTGGAGGGCAAGGTGATTGCATGACGTGCACAAGTCTCGATGTGACTGGTCTGTGCTGTTAGGGACGTGCGACACGGTAGGTCCGGAGTTCGGAGTTCCAGGGTCCGGAAGGGTCCGGAGTTCAGACGGAGTCTGGACGGAGGTGAGGCACGGAGGGGAAGGACTTCAGCGAAGCTATTAGCAACGCTCTGAGACCTCCTGCAGTTGTCCTTAATTTCCGAAGGAACGAGGGGGTCGGACTTGACCGGAGTTCGGGGCTGACTAAGCCGGAGTTCCACGCTGACTAAGCGGAACTAAGTCCGAGACAATTGGAGCAGAACAGAGAAGAGGATGAAGAGGATGGCGAGGGACGAAGTCCAAGGGGACTTGTCGAGCAAGCAAGATCAAATGAAGTCCGAAGTCCGGAGTTCCGGAGCTTGTAGGCTCGGAGTTACCGGATTAGGAAGGTCGGAGTTCGGAGGTCGGAACAGAGGTAGACCAAGGGAATAGATTGACAAGGGAGGTAGCGTGAAGGAAGGTAAACAGAAGGTAGCGAGGGGGTAA